CACCCTTCTTTCGACCCCAGCTCAGCCCTCGGTACACTCAGATCGTGACGACTCTTTACCTTTGCAGAAGATAAATCAGCTCTGGTACAGAGGTCCATTTCACGCTCCATTTTCAGCATCTCCGGTCAGAGTGGCTGGGAATTGTCAGAAGTCGTGACGAAGTACTCCGTTCAACAGAATAAGCTTCCTTAGAAGGAATCTTCATTAGAAGTTGTAGGGCGTTACGCCTGGGTGAGTTCACAGCGAGGCATGCTGTGACTCCGCTGGAATGGACGGACCCTTGGCTCATGGTCCAACTCCATCAGCTAAGACTGAGTAAGACTTTCAGTAAGAACTGAAAGTTCCTGTACGACTCGCCGTAAGACTGAGTCTTCCAGCAAGAATGAGTCTCATCCTAGACTGAAAGTTCCAGGAAGACTCGTAAGACTTAAAGTTCCAGGAAGACTGAATAGTTCCAAGAAGTGTTGACTTTTAAAGAGTATCCACTTCCTGTTATTTGGTACTTCCTGACTGGTTAACACAACCAGCAGGGGTGGAGTTTTAGTGATGTCAGCGGGTTATTAGAAGTCAACAGACAGCAGAAATGTTTTTAAGAACGGTTAGTACAGACAGGAAAATATTTTGAAGAAGTGAGAGGTGCCAGTTTCTTATTTAATGTCTGAGAGTTTTAAAACAAGGCACTTCGTTCTCATAACTTGTTCTCTGACATTTGACCGACATCAAATCCACTCCTCATTCAGACAAAAGATTAAAATGCACACTTACTTTGTAAATAGACGTTTAATTTGTATGATCTAAGTCTAATGAGGTTTAAAAATCATTAATACTGTTTCACAGTTGATTTAAATGAGTGGTTCACTTCAACATTAGAAATGGTATGAACTAAACACACTTTTGATTATCAAGATATTGTAAAATAGTAATGATAATATAAAAAAGAAGAGTGTTCTTTCAATTGATTAATTCAGGATACAATTAAATAGTCTCTTGATGAGATAATTTGTATTTCTGGATTCAAATCAATGAAATAACAGTTCCTGTCCCCTGAAGGTCTTCAGAGACAGATTGATGTAGGAGGTCTAGTTCACTACAAATATATACAGGTCCTTCTCAAAAAATTAGCATATTGTGATAAAGGTCATTATTTTCCATAATGTAATGATAAAAATGAAACTTTCATATATTTCAGATTCATTGCACACCAACTGAAATATTTCAGGCCTTTAATTGTTTTAATACTGATGATTATGGCATACAGCTCATGAAAACCCAAAATGCCTGTCCCAAAAAATTAGCATATCATGAAAAGGTTCTCTAAACAAGTTATTAACCTAACCACAGACTTCCCCCTGAGGTGTCTTGATACAGCACTCTGGGAACAGCCTATTCGTTCAGCAATTTCTTTCTGTGTCTTACCCTCTTGCTTGAGGGTGTCAATGATGGCCTTCTGGACTGCAGTCAGGTCGGCAGTCTTACCCATGATTGCGGTTTTGAGTAATGAACAAGGCTGTGAGTTTTTAAAAGCCTCAGGAATCTTTTGCAGGTGTTTAGAGTTACGTCGTTGATTCAGATGGGAAGGGAAAAGTGTGGCAGAAAACGCTGCACAACGAGAAGAGGTGACCGGACCCAAGGAGGATTGTGGAGAAGGGCCGATTCCAGACCTTGGGGGACCTGCG